GTCAGCTCTCTTCAGCCACTGGTACGACAATTTCAAGGCAGACCGTGTACAGACGCTTATGGCATATTGGTCTATATGCTCGTAGACCTGTCAGATGCGTTCCACTTACTGCAATTTATTGTCGCCTGCGGTAACCTGGAGTAGAGATCCTGCATTGTGGACACCGCAACAGTGGGCTTGTGTGATGTTTTCCGACGAGTCCAGGTTTAGCTTGCAGTCTGATTCTCGCCAGACTTTCATATGGAGAACTCCAGGTACCCGTTACCACCAAGAAAACATCATTGAACGACACCGTTACGGTGGTGCAGGAGTGCTCGTTTGGGGTGGAATTATTCTGGGTTCCAGAACTGACCTGCATGTTCAAATTGGAACCATGACAAGCCAAATCTATCGGGACATCATTCTGGAACAACATGTACATTTGTTTCGGGGTGCCATGGGCGCACAGTTTGTGTTTATGGATGACAACGCCCATCCTCACCGTGCAAACACCGTAAGTGAATGCCTTCAGTCGGAGGATATCACCCGTATGGACTGGCCAGCATTCTCACCGGACTTGAATCCAGTAGAGCACGTGTGGGATATGCTTGGCCGACAAGTTGCAGCCCGTCAACCTCCTTCTACAGGTGTACCGGAACTTCGGAGAGCATTGCTTTTTGAGTGGTGTAATATCCCCCAAGATCAGATCGATAATTTGATACTCAGTATGCCTAGGCGTTGTACGGGCTGTATTGCATCGTCTAGGAAACATACAATGTATTAACAATCATACCAACCATGTAATATTGGTTTTTTTGTGAATAGTTTTTTTTTTTTTTTTTTTTTTTTTTTTTTGTAATTTGCTCCAGGGAGAAAAAATCGCTTATTTTTTTAATAATATCAAACATATAGCATCTTTTTTTGCTCTTTACATTTTTTTTTAATAAATAAACTTTACAAATAAGTCAAATTTGTTTTGCTTTTAACTCTTCCTTTGCCTGATTTTGCATTATCCTTAATTTATGGACATGAGTGTATTTAGAACAGGAAGGGAGGTAGCCAAAATAAAATGAGGAAATAAAGGGCTATTACTAAATTAATGTTAGTAATTTTGGGTGACATATTTGTCTTACTTATATATATATAAACAACAGTTTAAAAATTTCAAAATTAAGATTATAAAATCACCAAAGTCACGCAATTGGTGGTTAATTGTCTAACAGGAAGAACGTACATCAAAACTGAAATAAAAACACAAAACAACACAATAAAATTGGATAATAAAATTAATGTCACAAAGTGGAAAATTCAGTTTCCCACTCTTTTTTTTTTTTTTTTTTTTTTTTTTTTTCGTCAAGGAGCAGCCGAAGAATTTTCAACAGAGCCGCATTTCTGAATTGCATCTGGGTGATTATAAATCCGTGAAATAAGTCAAAAGTAATGGCTAGATAAAAAAAGAACAAATGAATTTAAAATAATAATAAAAGGCCAGTAAAAAAAAAAAAAAAAAAAAATTATAATGCCAGAAAAGAATGCAATAAAATAATTAAAAGAAATCTTTTTAATAAATCATCAAAGTATGTCCTGTGTGATGCTAAGTAATTAATACTATAAAAACAAAGAGCATAAAATTAGAATTTTCGAAATTAGAAACCAGAGAAACAATTGGGCAAGTTAAAAGTGCTTTTCTAAATTGATATTTTTTAATAAATGTTGAACCAATGAAAAGTCAAAACTGCTATAATGCTGTTGCAAATCAAAAGTAAATAAATTTTAATGTCAAAATAAAAGGAAGCAAAATGATTTATATTAGAAGGTAATTTTCTTGAGTAAAGTAAATACACTTAGAAAGTTTCTTTATGTTTGATTTGCAATAGTTTGTTAGCAATTTTGAATTTTTCCTAGTTCAGCACTTATTACAAATATTAGTTTAGCCAATTTCTTTTAATAGCAGATTATATCTTGATTATTTAAAAAAAATATACCTTATCTTATTGAATTCTGTATTAGTATTATAAAAAAAATTATTGTTATACATTATTATTATAAATTATTATTATATTATTATTATAAATTAATTTGTTTTTTATTTCAAACTTTTTAAATGGAATACAGCTGAATAATTTTATAAAAAATTTTGGTGACCTTACGTTATTTTTTTTTATTTGGCTCTTACTTTTGAATTATTTCATAAATTTATAATCATTCAGGTATAATTCAGAAACATGGATCTGCTGAAAATTCTTCAGCTGCTCCTTGAAAAAGACCAAAGATTTTTCATATGTATATGGGCTTTTATGCCCCCCCCCCCCTTTTTTTTTTTTTTTTTTTGAGTTCCTTTTTTTTTAATCAAAGTGAAAATTAATTGGTCCATAAATAAATATACAAGATTTTGATGTTAGAAACAAAAATTTTTTATTGAGCCATATTACATTATACTAAAATATATTTCTTATTCAAGCTACATTATATTATCAAGGCATTTATCATACAGGCAGCTGGCAAATTTTGCCATTTCATCTCAAAAGTTCTTTAATTTATGTTCTACGTGACTTGAAAATAGCTTTTACTTAGAGTACTGCGATTTAAAATTTCATGAAATTTTTAGTTTTCTTTTCAAATTTTAAATGAAGTTGCTATTAACAAACTGAGCAATTCCTCATAGGTTATAGAGAACTAGTTAGCCTTATAGTTATTTCTTTGTTTGATGCCTACATTACAAAATATTTTAATCTCTTTCTTTCAATGCCTTAGTAAATGTATATTTCTCTTGCTGTTATTGTATTAATGCTTGAAATGTCTAAATTTGGAGTCCTGCAAGGAACTTATTAAAAAAAAATCAATAATAATAATTATTGCTGTTGGTTTTTAGCTGAGACAGCGTAATAAGATGCAGATAGACTTACTACTTTAAAGGTATTTTATTGCACTGCAAATAATGCTACCACATTAATAGCAAATCCTTCATTTTTCAACCCTCTAGTAAAACTAACAAAACATTGCATTCTAAAAAGAAATCCAGTGTGAAAACTTGCCACAAAAGGATAGTACAATTAGTTATATACAAAGTGAACATTTATAATTATTAAAATATTTGCGTGTTACAAATTAATTATTCACATTTTTTGCCATTTACATATTTTATGCTTTACGTTGCCATTTTTACATAAGATAAAATCCCTTTCTTGCTTTATTTATTTGGCTGTTTGTCTTCTGTATTTGAAGAATACATGATGACATTAGACAGCAGTTGCTATATTCTTTTTTAAATTTTGAAAGAAAGCAAAACAAGAAGTCTAGTTTATGAAAGCAAATAATAAAAACAAAACCGTGTTTCATTCACATTTGCAGAATTATAAATGTAATGCTAGAATACTCAAAGCAAGGATTATTTGTTGATTCCAGTTAAATATAATATTGTTCTGTTTTCTCTCTCTGTGTAAGGTTTCATATACAAATATTAGATTTTTCAGTATTTTAGGTGACATATTTATAAGGAATCTGTTAAGTATGTACCAAATTCTTGATTTAAATTTAATCCAAAAAGTAATAAATACATTCTTGATTTTAAAGCAAAATTATCTGTAAAATTTAATCAAGAAAATAGCATATATATCCCATATGAAGCTACATATATATTGCATTATACATAATATTAATGTCTAATGCAATATATAAGTTTGGTAATTATAATTTGTAAGTTTTATAAGTTTGGGTAATTATAATTTTTGTTGAGAAATTTGTGTAATGTATTATTTTCAGGTTGATCTTTCTATCAGCATCTAAAATAAGCTGGGTGAATTCTGCACAGAGCTTATTTAAAAATTAATTCTTTAAATTTTTAAGTTATTAATAGCTCTTTTATTCATAATTTTCTTGATAAGTAATTTGGTACTTTATGATTATCTGCACCACTCTACTGGAAACGTTGTGAACTTATTGCCAATTTTGGGGTGCAAACTAGTTTTTCACGGAGTTAATGTGGGGAAGGCTAGAACCATTTTACAAATGGTAGCATACTAAGAATCCTGAAAAAGCACATGAGTGAAATAAGAAAAAAAGGTTATTTATTTATTGAGTAATTGTTGTGTAAGTTTTTGTATTGATTTTGTTTCCATGTACTGTTTTTGGAAAAGGAAAAAAAAAAAAAAAAATACAAATTCCTCTTCGGGGACATTTTTGGCACTATGTACCAGCCAGCTACGCCAACAGTAAATAAAGCAGATAGTTTTTATAAATGAGATTCAGCTAATTTCAAACCAGTTTCCAACACTTTGAAGATTTTACATTACATTTCCATAAAATTCGATCATTTAAGAAGTATAACTTCACACAATGCAAAGTTTTACATTATATGTTGTTGGACAAAATGCCATATTTCTGCAGAAATTCAGTGCTTTTCTTTTCAGTCAGCCGATAAATCCAAAATTAGATTCATTTTGAGAAAAGCAAATGTACACAATGCAAAAAGAAATACTTATACTAAACATGATGGTTGAATTTCATAATTCAGTGCTTTTCTTTTCAGTCAGCCGATAAATCAAAAATTAGATTCATTTTGAGAATAGCAAGTGTACACAATGCAAAAAGAAATACTAAAAATGATGGTTGAATTTAATTAGTACAAATTCATGTGTACTATAACAGATGTATGCTATGTCCATACCTGCATTGCCAAATAAATACTTTTTCGAGAGAAATTGTGGGGTGTCATGTAACTATTTTGGCAACTTTTTTGGCAACTTACTGAGTTGCCGTGTGAATACTGTTTCGCGACTTTTCAGTGGGGGTGCAGGTAATTAGAAAGTACCAAAAACGTTTCCAGTTTAAAATGTTAACATTCTCAATAAGGTAGTTCTGCATCATAATATTGTGAGTTAACGTATAAAATAACTGTTTGGACTTGTTTTGCTAACAGTAGTTGTTTTGTTTCTTTTTCTGTGAAATGCTTGAATATATATATATATATATATATATATATTATTTTTTTCGTTTCTAACACTGATTTTTTTTATTAACAGATGATTTTAGTGGAGATATTGAATTGAAAGAGCTACCACTTGGTATAGGTGCAGGTAAAGGAAAGTTTTGTCATACTAGGATAGTTCTATTTGATACTTTTACCTTTTAATTCATATCTAAATTAAAAGGATGTAAATTGAGTCTAATTAATGTCGTATAAGGAGAAAAGCAATGCTAACAGCATATTTAGTAATCAGTATAAATAAAATAATTTTTACGATTATGAATTTGTATTTTGTATCCATTTATTTGAATCATGAACATAGTGTTATTATTTTTCATCATTTATGTCAGTCAGTAACTACTTTTCATGCATGTAAATTATGAATGCCTTTTTGCACAAAACTTTGCTCACAAACAGGCCAACAAGTAAAATGAACAACCTTCTGTTTACTTGCTTCATCTAAACTCTGCTTAAATGTTATCGATCTTAAATTAAATGTATATGTGAAGCGAGCGACTGCTCGTCTGAAACTAAGCAAAAAACTGAAGCTCAGGCTTTAAAATTAATATTAATAATTCAAAGTACCTTTGCTTGCTGAACACTGCAATAACCTTGCATGAAAGTACTGCAAACCTAAGAGTATAGTTCAAATTTTCACAGTGAATGTGTCATTTCTTTTCATTATTGTTAACTAACGCTTTTAAAATTTTAACAGGAAACATTATTTGCAAGAAATATGTTTAAAGGAATACAAAAACTGAAATTGGTTTTTTTATTTGGTTACACTTTCTTGCAGTTTTTTTTTTTTTTTTTTGTGCAGTTTCAATAATGTAGCACTTTTAAAACTCATTGCAAGAGTTTTATCTGGTGTCTGCCATCCAAAGTAGTTCACAGAATATAGCATCAAACAATTTTGTTGCTTTTAACATGTTGTTTTTACTATCTGCCTCTCTTGACATTGCATTCCCCTTTCCTGTTTCAATTATTTCTCACCTGTTCTGCAAACTTAAAAAGTTTTAAATTTGCTCATTCATTAAAGGTGCTCAGTTTTAATTTTTGTCTTGTATCACAAAGTTTCATGTCTATGTATAGTTTATAGAAAAGATTTGGTGTTACTGTTAAAATTGTAGTATTGAAGCTATTCACATGAAATTCTAAGTAATAGTGTAATATATTTAATTGTTATAATTTTAAGAAACTTTATGATTTTAAATGTGTCTAGCATTTGTGTTTACGAAAATATGGCTTATAGCCTTTTTTGAATACCCAAATGTATTGTGATTAAAATGAAACTAATGTGACGTAAGAAAGCAAGTTTGAGTTTTTTCAAAATATGCAATTTGGCAATTTTATGAGTTGAAGTTCTTTGGTTAGAAATTTCTATAAAGTTCTATGCTTTTTGAATTCCTGTAATTTTTGTCCAAGATAATGGTAATATAATTAAATATGCTATTTTTTTAGGCCAAAGTTCTGGAGAAATAAATCAGCGGCAAAATCAGTCTGATTCATCTCCAGAGAGGTAAGTAAAATTACTGAGTTATGACTTTAGTGGTCTTAAAAACTTCTGTTAGGTACCTGTAGTGGGATATGAAAAGGAATTTGCAGTACTGCAAATGCTAAAGGTGCATGTCAGTTTGGTAATGCTGGTAAACAAAGATTCTGCACAACATTAAGTGCCTATTTTCTATTTAAATTATCCCCTCCTTACTTATGCAATATGTGACACATGATTTCACAGATATGTAAGCATACAAAAGCCAGAACCTTCGAACTAAAGCTTAACAATTAAATATAAAGAGTGTGTAAACAATTCCTCCTTTTACAAACTGTAATATTCCTGTTTTCATTTATAAAATAATATTATGAGTAATATATATAATTCAGTTTCCTTTAATAATACATAAGCAATTTAATATATTCGACTTGCATTAAATTCAAGTTAAGCCAATGTTTACAGAACACATTACCTAGTTGCCTGTGAAACTTAAGGATTACTTTATTCATGTACTCCGATTTCAGATATGCAGCGATAAAACCATAAAAATTTGCATACCAAGGAAGAATTATCACAAACAAAATTTTATACAAGTAAGAGAAATGCTGATTTAAGCAAGTGATTATAAAATCAAAGCCAAAGGATGCTTGATTGCAGGAAAAGCTACAAATGAATGAAAGTTCTAATGCCTTGTTTGGCCACATCTGTTATCAATACAGTTTGGGATATAGGCAGGCATTAGATGCATACAGGTCCAATATGGTGTCCTGCATTATCTGATTTCACTGTTCTTGTAAGTTGCCTCTAGTTTGAGCAAACTCCTAGGCTGTCCAGCATGCCATCCCAAGTGATTCCAAACATGGGCAATCAGTGATGATAATGGAGATCAGACAGGCAAGGAAAGAATAATGATGTAATGGCGGCATTCATATGACACCCTTCCTGGGCGTGGCCAAGCTGTTAGCTCTGCCATGAGTTGCAACACGTGCCTGAAAGATAGCCTATGATGATGCTGTAGATCAGTATTAAAAGTGACTTGTGCATCTCATACCATCCTATCATGTATGGGAATGGTATGCCACTACAAAGATTCAGTCAGTGTTGAATCAGTTAACATTTGCATTTAATTTTGTTTTACAAATAAATGGCACATTGCTACATTTATCCACCTTACAGTATGGACATTAATTATTAATGTTATTTTTATTGTATTTAAAAGTACTTTGATAAATAAAAGCTTTTCTTCGCTGCTCAGGACATTTTCAGTATAAAGGTTTAAGAAAATTGGAAAATAGAATTAGGTAAAGTGAATAAAATTTAGAATCATATTGTAAGTTCAGTAACCTTAAATGGCATTCCTGTGCGGGAAACTTGGTGGTTTTCTACAAAAACATCCTGATTTGCATATTTCGAGGTATGTCTGTATCATCAGTCACAAACATTGTTACATCTTGCGATTTTTTCATTAATTCTGTTATTTTTCGATGACTACCATTAATATTTGGAAATTTCAATGGAGAAAGAGCAGTACCTTGTTGATGTTTTTGTATTTTAATGTGTGTCAAAATTTTCTCTATTCATCGGTTATGAAATGAATGGTGTGATTTTTTGTCATGCAAATCGTTTTAATCCATTTTAGAGTATAATAGTTTGAGTAAGGTCTTTTGCTAGAGGTGATTCTTTTAAAACCTTGAGTTTTCTAATTTGTGGATTTTCTGCTACTGATCCTCTTTTACAAAGGATCTCTGCTAGTCAATAAATGTGATCCTTCACACTTGCTAGGCTCTTTGGGTCCAATCTCTGCAAAATAATTGTAATATTTAAAAGTATCGTTTGCACTGAAGTGCCAGTGGCTGAGTAGTTAAGATTGCTGAATACTGGTAGTATGAGTCGGTTCGAATCTAGTTGAATGGATTGACTGCATGGTTGGTTTTCATAGATTTCCCGAAGTGTAAAATATATGCTAGCCAATTTCCCTTAAAAAGTCCTTTGTGAAGCCATCTCTCCCTTTAGGAAAACAGCCTAGGTCAGCTTGGCCATATTAAAATAATCTAACCTGCTCAAGTACTAATAAAAATAAATATTTCTTGTACTGTAACCTAACCAGCTCATATGTCATCCCTGACTGATTTACCTTTGGCATTTAATAGAAGAACATGAGTGACTATGTTGCCTCTGCAGCTTTTTAACAACATATGCAAAGTATAAAATGTATACCTGTAGCAGAAGGTATGTCCGCATATATCTCAGATTCGAAATATAGGATATTTTTGAGACATGTATTTCAGTTGCTCATCATTAGAGCAGCCATAAATTATGATAATTAATATGAACAAAATATAATTAATAACTAATACTAATATTAAAACCTAGTGTGAAAATGTATATCAGTGTCATAACTCAGTAATATCTTAGAGTATGAAGTAATAGTTATGATGATAAAAATAAATAGTTTCTGTTTTCAATCAAAATCGTAAAAAAACAACCTTATATTTAGCGTAGGTATAATGAAACACTCAATCGATTTCGAGGGCAGCTAAAGGTCCTATAAAATTCACCCTTCGATTCTAAAAGATTGCGTTTCTGTCTTGAATTCTTGGGGAATTTATAGTATATCATGTCAGTGTGGTTTAAGATATATTGGCCAAACAAAAAGAGCGTTGAAGTTTCGTATCAAGGAACATGAATCTTATGTCAAAAAAGGGGAAATTAACAAGTCTTCAATAGCGTATCATAGCTGGACTTTTAACCATAATTTTGATTTTGGGTCTGCAAAAATCATCCAAAAGGCTTCTTCCATAGGCGAATTGGATTTTCTTGAGGCTTTTCACATTCACAAAGATTTAGAAAGTTTAGTTAATGATTTGAAGTCCAATCCAGTCCTTCCTAATGCCTTTAAAATTCTACTGTCTTAATTCAATTATTTTTTGCCGATAGATGGCGTTACCTCCTCGCACTTGGTACTACCAGAGGGTATAAAAAAATCCGTTCAGTGGTTGCTTTCCATTATTTGAAGTTCAGATTTTGAGCGTAATGTGCATTTGGCCCTCGCTCCCTATTTTAACTAACTTCGCTAATATTTCTTTATACTTGATCAGACAGCCTGGCTCAGTAAAAGTAGGCGGCCAGTGCAACTCTGATTAAAAATCTAGTTATAACCACGTGCAGTGCTGATAAGCACCACGTGTTTCTGTGATTCCTATTTTCTTTTTTCTATGTATTTCTTTCTCCTGATGAGGAGGGACCTTTAGCTGCCCTCGAAATCGATTGAGTGTTTCATTATACCTACGCTAAATATAAGGTTGTTTTTTTTACGATTTTGATTGTCACATTAGCGTGTTTCTCTTCTAGTCTAGTTTCTGTTTTGTTATTTTAAATCAACCATTAAATTTAGTTGATATTCCTTTGAAATTACTTTTTGAATTAGGGCTCGTGAGAAATATATTTTAAAGTTTTAATCAATACATCATATGATAATAAAAATAATTCATCTGTTTTATCCTTTAGCCCTCCAGAAGTAACAAGCGTTGTAAGGCGAAGATCATCTGTTGGAATCCAGAGGCAGGCTTCTGTGTGCTTATCTGATGAAGAAGATCAGTCACCTGATGAAACTAGACATGCTTCAGGGAGTGCTGTTGAACGACAAAGAGTACCTGGACCACGGCAGCGAGAAGTTACTAAGGTTTCTGCCATTGTTCATTGCAGCAGTAATGATAAACCTCCACAGCCACCTCACTGGGATCAAACATCAGTATGTTCTTCCAGTTCACAACCTATAATGGGGGTCTTTCACCCACCTTTCATTCATTCGCATTCATCTCCCGATTCTGGGAGCACTGCCAATATACACCAAACGAAATATGGGCGTGTACCAAGCACTATTTCATTGCATGGGATTCCTTCTGATACTCTGGCACGTGTAGTTGATCTACAAGACTACCACTACAGTAGGCAGCAAGTACAAGAATTAGCAGCTCAAGGTGCAACACTCCTAAAAGATAAATCGCAGTCAAACTTAGATGTGGCAGCTGGTGCCGATGGATGGACAACTGATCCTTCTCATATTCAACAAGCTGCAAGTACCGAAGCTGGATTATTAGAACAAAGTTTGGAGCAGCATCAGCTTGAACATTTACGATTGCTCCTGAGAAGATATTCTCCTGTTGATGAGGAAGATGCCAAAATCTGGAGTAAAGTGCGCTACAACGATACTGGTAGCAGAGAGGATATCCGAGAAGAGGTAATAGAAATGATATCTGGAGAGAGTTCAGATGATAGCAACAGTAGTATTGAAAGTGAGATGTTAAAACAGCAATCAAGGCAGTTATGGGAATTAAGAGCTACTTTAGAGGAAGAGGAGGATAAACTCAGTGATACTCAGGAAACAGAAGATGATCCTCCAGAAGATAGAGCATCAGATCCACAAGATGTATTAACATCACGTGCAACATCTTTTGAGTCTAATGCTGATGTCTCTTGTGATGATCCTGGTTATGAATGTGATGAAAGTGATTATCTTCAACTTCCCTCTCATGAGTTGCGCAGGCATTGCTACAAGAGTTTACTAACTAAAAGGTTACAGAAAAGGACGCCTGGGGTCGAGAGCAGTTTTGATAGTGTCGAAAGCTCATCAACTGATAGGACAGACGGTGCTACAACATCTTTTGAGTCTACCACTGACAATACTGACAGCACGGGTGAAGGACAGACAAACAGATTGCAGCAAATGAAAGCAGACAGTGGTTACAAATCAATGGAAAGTAATGGAAAAGCTCCTCGTTTGTGCAGAAAACAGCTGCAGTTCACTCTCGATGGAGATAGTTTAGACCAGATGATGACGACTATGGAAGGCACTTTTGATGAGGAAATTGAAGTGCTGTACAAAGATTCTATGACACAAGGAACTGATACTATTAAGACCAAATCTATTGAAACTTCCAAGGTAGTATCATTTGAAGGTGTAGTGATAGAAGGTGAAGGTCTTCCACCATACGAACCTCAGGTTCATAAAAAGAAATATAAGAGTGCCTTGAAGAAGCACTGTACTGAAAGTGATATACAGTGGAGTGAGCAACAACTGTCAGATATGGTGGCTGAAACACGTGGCAAAACATCTGTTTTTCACAGGTTCTTCCGCTCAGGACGTCTCAGATTAGAACAGATGCAACAGTTTAGAGACTATAGTATAGATGAGAAATCTGATGCACTTTTCCGTGAATTTTCCCGACCTGATGTTGCTGACACTGAATATTACCGTACTCGAGGAGCTCGGCTTCATGGTCATATGAGGCTTCATCATAGATCTTTACCATCTGCTGAAAGCAGTAGTCCCCATCTCCCTAAAAAGGTACTCTCACCTCAGCTCAGTATTGAAGAAGAAAGCTGCGAAAGCGGCGCAGAGGAAAATCAGTCTGGAGGAGCTGATAAGCAACAGGCTCTTAAAAGTCCTCGTGAGACCCAAGCTCAGATCCCTGTGATATGTCTCTCACATGGTGGAGAAGGACAGTAGATTTTTTGCAGTGTTTCTTATTTATTACCATATCGTGGGACCTAAACATGTCGAAAGCATAACAGTATTCTTTGAAAAGTTGTACAGTGTTTCATTTGGGCACAGAAATATACAATGAAGTTAATATTACTTTGCACCTCTTTGCTGCCAGCACAGTCACAAGTTTCAGTATAATGAAAAACTCAAGTTTTATTTAAGGAATATCCCTATATGAGCACAAATATTTTCATTTAGGATACCATTCAAACTTCCAAAACTATGAATAGAGCTGTCATTTATGTTTGCTCACTTTGTTACTCAATTCACTGCTATTATGTTCACGAAGTGCCAAGATGCAGAAGAATTTGAGGTCAGCTCTTATGATATCTAAATAAACCTAAGAATGATTTTAATGTATGATTGTGTATTTGAGGTAGAAAGCATCTCACGTTTTTTTTTTCTTTCTGTAAATAACTATGAGGAATGTGTATGTTGTTGATCTGTGTTTTAACTTACGCACCTGCAGAGAAATGCAAGAAATTTAATTTTTTATAATGATGCCTTTGTTGCGGTCATTTCTGTGGTCACTTTATCCTTGATTCTGGATGAAATATTGCACCAAGATGCATAATTTAATTTTTTTTAAAGAATTGAACTGCCAAAATTATGAAATAAAAGAATTGTGACAAATGCTTTTTTGTTCACTCATTTATCACTTAACATTGTGTCTACAGTTACAAATAATTTAGTTCAATACAACAAATAATTTAGTTCAGTTCTTTCAAAGGAATTTTATACTGATTTTCTTTCTTTTCTGCCGTTTTATTTACATATAATCACAGACTTAAAACAAAGTATGATATATCATTTAATCTTCTACACACACATTTTCAAACTCTTTATATTTATACATGTTTTATGTTGCTGAATTCACTTCTTTTTCCTGTCTTAATTTTATTGTCAGAGTCAGATTTCAGAAATGTTAAGAATTTATGAAGAAATAGAATGAATGTATTGATCTTATATGCTGATGACTACACAATAATTTAATACCGCTCAGTCTCTCCTTCACTTGTATCTTAACTGGGGAATAGTAGTAATATTCAGATGAATAATCCAGGTTGGTAATGGGTTATTGTGCTTCTCTTTTATTTACCAGTGTAAAGATATCAGAGTTTTAGGAAGTGAAGAATTTTGAGAAATTGACTGCACCCTCACTAGGAATTCAATCCAAGTCTTTAGTGTTTTGGACTGATACCCTAACTATTAAACCATAGGGTACAGTGTAAAAATGTCTTCTAATTCCTTACATTATCTCCCATATACGTAAATTCCATGTCAGTCAATCCAAATTGGTTGTGAGTAAATTGTTGAGCTGTCAACTTTTCCGATTTTCCATCACACTTTCTCAGCTCTTGATAAATCTTTAATATTTCTGAATTTAGATAGTTTTATTTGATTGGAAATCTAGCAGAAATAAGTTTCAAAGCAAGTACAATGTAAATAATTTTGAGGACAGATTCTTAAAAAGTGCTAAGGCATGGCTTTGTTACCCTTTGGTGAAACTTAAATTGTGTAAATTCCCCCCCCCAATCAGTTTTGAAAGCAATTTTACTTTTAGTTTATTTTTAATTTTAACTTTTAATGTATTAGAATTTCTTAAGCATACTATGAATGTTTAACTAACGATTAATAGGTAAATTTAATTTTGCTTTTTTTTTTTAATTTGAAATAATATGCTAGGTTTATTCATATGGTTATATGCTCATTAATTATTAGTTATACTTTCAATGTTTAAAAGTATTGACAAATAAAATATTTTATTCAGTACTTGGATTTTTATCAGTATAAAATTAAAATGAATTACAAAATCAACTTAAATTAATCAAAACAATATTAAATTTATTATTCTAAATTTTAATCAAAATTATGTTGTATCTAGTTTTATTAACATAAATAATGGGTTTGACTTTAAAATCAAATGTGGCTTGGAATCCTTTTAAAATTGGATCCCTGCGTGGGCGGTTTTTCACACTGAAAGTTGACAACTATGAATTAGTGTCCTCCGCTTTCAGTCTGAGCATTAGTGCAGAAGGAGGTGTTTCAGCATTCAAGAGTCTTGAGAAATAGACTCTCCTTCCTAGGAATTGAAGCTTGGTGCAATTATTAATAAGGTGGCAATTAAAAATATAGGAGCCAATGGTAGGAATGCCTGTCATTCTTTATTCCTCTTCACCTAAATGGCAACTCAAAATTACTGAGAAATAAGTGTTTCTACTTTTAGTTCAGTTAACTTTCTGAAGCCGGCTGGTACAGCAGTTGTACCAGGAGAATGACTTTCTCAGATGTCGGCATTGGTACAACTGTCGTACCATCCATGCCCTCCCTATTTTAGAGAATCGCCTATCTGTAAATCTCTGGGTGGTCCATTGTCGCTGCTCAGAGTAGCCGCTGGCTACGCATTATTTCCCTCTTCTTATCAGTTTGGCTACATTTTGGCAAAAACCGCAGGTTTCGTCTCCCGTCAATATACTTGAAAATTGAATAGAGGCCATTTCTCTCTCAATCTGTCTCATAATTTTAATCCTAATTTTTTTTAGTACTGACTTTTGCTATGATTAAAATGTCAGCGATTTTGCACGCTCTTAAGCTTACCATATTTAATGTTCTTTTAATCATAGCAAATAAAAATAGATTAATATTTTAGATTTAATGCCCTTCTAGAAAATAGTTAAAACCGCTTTTATCGTTTACTTCCTTTTTTTCATACTTATGAATAATAAGATTTTATTTTGACAGTTTTTTGTGGATTGCATAAAACCCTTAAGAACTGTTAACTCTTTCAAAGTGCTTCTATTATGTAGGCAATTTTGTCTGATTTATCCGGAGATAAATAAGAGACAATTGTATGCATAATAGTTTTTGTGATTTTCATTCATTCAAGTGATTGCTTTCAATGAATTTTCATTGATTGTAAATTAAATAAAATCAATTTATCTTTAGACCCTCTTTTAGGATGAGATCTGCCAAAAAGTATTTAAATATCAGTAAAGCTCACGTTACTTTTAAATTGAATCAAAACATCAGTTACATTGTATAAAATTTCGGCCAGTTTTATTTGCTGAAATTCTTATACTCCTCAAGAGATAAAGGGAATTCAGACAAGTTAATAAAAAAATATCTTTAAAAAAGGTGGTTATTTTGTCTGTAATAAGGTGTATGTCAACTTACTATTAAATGTATGAAATTAGGATTGGATTACGGAAAAGCACGCGAACGCTATCTGCTTAAGGGGATGGATGCTTTCGTGTAAACCTTTTTAAGAGAAAATTGCTCGCATTTACGTTCCTGGTGAAAAACTCCACATGTAATCAACCCGTTCTTCGGGTTTGATTGAATTAATTTTGTTTGCTTACTGAATTACATAAAAGCACACAACAATTACCTGTATAAGGGGAGTTATGCCTTCGCGGAGGACTTTCTAAGAGAAGCTGGCTTGCATTTACGTTACACAAAAACCGTGAATCCAACTATTTAGCCGGGATTCAAACCCAAGCGAGCTACAAGTGTTCAGCCACCTTTACCGCTCTACTGAAGAGCCTGTAAAAATATTGATAAAGGAAAAGTATTGAAATAACTGGTTTAATTTACTAACCTATATTTCTCAATCCACTGTACATAAATTACGCATATGAGGGGATTATTTGTGAGTAAATAAACTGTATTGCACTTTTCTCCACTATTTCATATTACGATGGAATTATTGCATTTCAAAGTTATTTCTCATGAATTAATTTTGCTCCGTTCATGATTTTTTATATTTTCAAAGAGAAAATTTCACGCTTTAAATAAAAAAATGCACGAGAAGATACTTTATGCAAAATTTCTCGTAAACGGTTTTCTTAATTTTGCTTTGAAAATATTCCAGGGTAATCGTGCCTACCAGCGGCCGAGCGGTAAAGTCGCTGAACACTGGTAGTTCGGTCCAAGGTTCGAATCCCGCGAACGGGCTGGCTGCATGGGTGTTTTCGTGGTTTTCCCCATGTGTAACGTGTATACGAACCAGTTTCCCTTAGAAAATCCTTCACGAAGGCATCCCTCCCCTTAGGCAGATAGCCCTAGTGTGCTTTGCCATAATTAAATACACCACACCACCAGCGTAATCGTTTTCATTACTGGAAAAAATATGAAAAACATATTTACTACATTGTGTCAACACCCAGTACGTCCTTATTCTTTTGAAAACGTGAAAGATTACTCTTTCTAAAATAAATTAGAAAATATATTATGTGCAAATAGAATATTCGTTGAAAAATGAAATAGACTTCAACCTTTGGATAAAACGATGGTTTTAGACGAAATTTCTACCTATGAAAAGAAATTGACGTATAATTAATTCTTCATGAACATTTAAAACTGTTCTCAAAATTCTTTTGATGATTGCATGTATGGGTCACGGATTATTTTTCTCTGCTAACATAAACAAAAGCCAATTTTACAAAGAAAAATTCTCGTTAAAGATATACCTCTTTTGCCTGATAGTACAATGTAATATTTGTTAAAGTTAAATGATGAAACGCAACCAACGTATCTCGGATTTTGATTTTTGTATTATAATAACAAAATTATCGAAAAAATCAGATTTAAATCTCTGTTATTGTTATGTAAAGCTTTATTATTGCTGTAAGTTCATCTCAAAAATCTAATTGTATTGAATCTCATTCTAATCATCTAATGGTAATAAATATTATTATTATTATTTCATTAAATTAGTCATTACCATTATTTTATTAATGAAAATTATGTTATTAAAAATCGCATTTCCAGCCTGCAGACTTACAAAGCTAGTCCGTATTTACTATATTTTGTTAAATTTTGTTCTCGTTTTTCTAATTTCTAATACGAAAATACGCGAATATAAATGAAGAGTGAAAACAAAGTTAAAAAATTCGTAAATTATTTACGAGATTGATCAGAAATAGTGAGTGAAATATAAACATTGCATACATTTTGTTCTAAATAAATTGTGCGCATCCAGTACTGCATATTTATTTATGCACTAGTTATTTAGAACTTCATTTAAATGAAAGCAAAATAATCATCGAAAAAATTGCAAATTTAGCAACCCCTCTACTGGGACGTAAGCGTCCGACAAACATGTAAATTTTACTTCATCCATGGAAGGGGACTAACGACTTTTCTCATTAGGAAAATGTCAAAGAGGGGGCAAAACTGTTTCTGATCGCGCCGGTCTGAACAGACCGGATCGCGCCGGTCTGTTATGAGAATTTCGGCCCGGTTTTAGAAGGTTAACAATGCAGAATATTTAGGGACTGATGAATCATAAGGAATTGACTTTGATTTCCTAGTAAGCAAATCCTGGGCTCTCGCTGTAACAGACTGATATGTGGAACACTCTACTACAACAAGGAGGATTGCTTATATTAGTTCCTTATCAGCTTTCATTATGTTAGATACAGAAAGTGGAAGTTTGCTATTTAAAAGTTAAAAGAATATTTGAGATAAGTTATAAGCTACATCTCTCATCGTGTATCTTTATCGTATTTGGTAGAAATGAAATTTAACTTGATGATAAACAACATGATTATTAACAAGCATAAAAAGGGTCTATTATAAACCAAAAAATAAGGTTTTATTTAATTAACTTATTGAGGAAGTAATACCTAAACA